CGCGTCCTCCCTAAGAGCTACATACCTCGCCGAACCCGTGCTACGAGCGAGTTCCCTCGTCGACGTCGACGCCATCCACAAAGACATCCTAGCCGCCCTCCCCGCTGATCCCACCATCGCCGACTACCTCGCCAGCCCGATCCCAGAGGACTCCCGTTGGTCTCGAGACGCAGATGGCCTATTACGGCTAGACAACCGAATCTACGTCCCTGATGCCAACGACCTCCGGCTTCGCATCCTGAGGTATAAGCATGACCACCCGCTCTCTGGCCACTTCGGGCAGAACCGAACCTTGGATCTGTTACGCCGAGAGTACACCTGGCCGGGCGTCCGCACATTCGTCAAGGACTATGTGTCCTCCTGTACGGCTTGCGCCCGCGCTAAGACCCCACGACACAAGCCGTATGGCTTGCTCAAACAGCTACCTATCCCCGAACGCCCGTGGCACTCCATATCAATGGATTTCATTGAGCAACTTCCCGACTCCTCCGGCTTCACGGCTATCTTGGTTATCGTCGACCGGCTATCAAAGCAGTGCGTCTTCGTGCCAACGACCGATACCATAACAGCCCCGGAGTTGGCGAAGTTGTTCCTCCTCCACGTCTTCTCCAAGCACGGCGTTCCATCCCACATAACCTCTGATAGGGGTTCAGAATTTGTTTCCCACTTTTTCCGCTCCCTTGGCAAGGCTCTGGACATCCGCCTACACTTCACCTCGGGTTACCATCCCGAAGGCGACGGTCAGACCGAACGAATGAACCAAACACTGGAGCAATATCTGCGCGTCTATTGTAACTACCAGCAGGACAATTGGTCTGAGCTCCTGCCCCTGGCGGAGTTCGCCTATAATAACGTGCCGAATGCTACAACCGGTGTTTCACCGTTCTTCGCGAACAAAGGTTACCACCCGAACCTTGCCGTACACCCCGAGCGAGATCTGACTTCGGCGCGAGCCCAGGAGTACTCAGTCGATCTCGACTCTCTCCACCAATTCCTATGCGAGGAAATGAACCACGCACAGCAACGCTACCAAGGCCCTGTGGATGCTCAACGGCTACCTGCTCCCCGTTCAGCATTGGCAGCTCCGCATTCGTGAAGGCCAAGTACTTCCGCACCACTAGGCCTTCGGCGAAGCTCGCCGATAAGAACCTTGGGCCGTTCGAGATCATCGCACAGCCAGGTTCTCATTCTTGTACTCTCCGCCTCCCCGACACCATGAAGGCTGTGCACCCAGTCTTTCATGTCTCCCAACTTGAGCCCGCTGTTCCCAACCCCATCCTGAACCGCATGCAGCCGCCACCGCCGCCAATCGAAATCGACGGCGAACTTGAATATGAGATCGCCGAGATCCTCGACTCTAAAATCGATCGCCGGTGAAGCTGCAAGCTGTTGTACCTTGTACGTTGGGACGGTTACGAAGGGACTACAGAAGAGACTGAGTGGCTCCCCGCAACCGAACTTGGTCACGCTTCAGACCTCGTTGCGGACTTTCACTCACGATACCCGGATAAGCCGGGACCAAATCGCGCCTAAGGCACGGGACGGAATGGATGGATTGCACTTAAGGATCATGTAAGAACAAAGTGGAGTAGGAGTCGGAAGTAGACGTCGCGGGATGATCGACCCTAGACCCCATCACACTCGCCTCCCTCTCCCCCGCTTCCCTCGCCTCGCGCCTCGCCCTCGCCTCCATCAACCGCCTCTCTTCAGTGTCACAAATGTGTTCCAACAATCGTCCCGCCACGGCGGTTAGACCAGAGATCGCTTGATGGATGTCGCGAAGCACATCATAGATCCTGTCCTTCTCGTTGACCACCTCATCTTCCTCCGTCTCCACATCGTCCACATCCATCGTTGACCCCTCTCCTTTCGGCGCTTTGATACGAGGTCGCTTCGTAGATTGAGGCGTCCCTGCTCCGCGTACGCACTTCTGCCTGGACTTCTGACATGCGGCGCAGACGCCACGATCGCTGTTGCCTTTGACACACTCCACGCCTCTCTTCACGCAACGTTCACAGGGGGGCAGTCCTTCCCCCGCCACTGATGTAGCAGCAGGACGCTTTGATCAGGGCGATCAATAAGGGTTCCTGGCAAAGATCACGCTGATCGGGGTACTCACCTTGCCTGCGACCACATCTGACGCCTTCGATCACCTCTCCTCCTCAGCAGCGAGACGTGCAGCCTCAGCTCGAGCCCTGGCCGCCTCCTCTTGTTGTTGGGCCTCACGACGCGCAATCTCAGCCCTGCGACGCCGCAACCTCTCCGCCTGTTTCTGTTCCATCAGCTCCACATCGTCATCGGACTGATCGACGATGTCCTCCTTGCTCCACGTCCTTATATCCGCTGGATTTTTCTTGGGAGCCATGAGGATGGAAGATCAGGTTGTTGTGGTGGTAAGTTCGATCACCGCGCCGGCGGAACCAAAATTTCGGGCTCAGCGGAACCGGTTCCCACGCCAGTTCCTTGGGACTTCAAGGGTTCAGTCCTAAGAGGGGGATACTGTCACGACCCGGCGTTCCCCGGGGCCAGACGACCTCCTCCCTAACCTTCTCCCACGCCCGAACACTCCCCGCACACTCCGCTCGCCGCCCGTCGCCGTCTAACCACTTCCCGCCACCTCTCCACAACACCTTTCCTCCTTGTCATTGAACAACCTAGCGGCGCAGAGCGCCGCGACCCGTTGTTCCATGTTTCGCCGCACCTTGTTATCTCGCGGCGAAGGTCACGCTTGACCTTCGCTGTCTTGAGCACGTGCTCTTTGTTTGTTTTCCTGCTTCTTTTCTCCGCCTGCAATCTCCGCGAGATCTGGCGACTTATTCCTTATTCAGTTCCCTAGCACTTATATACGGCTTGTAACTAATGCCTGTACTGTAGTTCAAAATCAACTAGAATTACCCCCTAGAGCTTACCTCTGTCCCCGCGAGACCTCTGACCTTCTAAGTATCGGGACCGCGTCGAGAACGAGGTGCAACGCTCCTCCTCGAGTCGTTGAAGCCGAAATCCCGGCTCGCTTGCCTAAGTAGCCTCGGCCTCGAGATTGGTGGGGTTTATTCCTCGCTAAAGCTCGGTCGTGTGTAGGACGCCTATTCCACTAGTGGGCAACGCTCGGTCGCCTACGGCTACCTTCGGCGAAGATTCGCACGGTTCTGACAGCTCCACCCTATGCCCACCACCTGGTCCGAATGGAAACACGAGGCCACCCTCCTTGACAGCCAGTGGCAGCACTTCCAGAGGACGCAGCTGTGTATGCCCTCACTGTCAGGGCCCGGCCTCGGACTCGGAGGCTCCCTGACCTCAGCCCCCATCTAACCTGTCCTCACACTATGCGGGGCATGAGATGTATAGTAAAAGGAAAGATAATATACACTTGCCTATGCGGGGCATGAGATGAGAAGAAGGGTAAAGGTCTCATCTCCCCGCATGGTTGCTATATAAAGGAATGGGTCACATGCCCACAACTATACAGCTCCTAGAGTTGTGTAGTGTGACCCGGAGGGAACATCCAGGTGGCAGTGCCCAGTAAGCGTGGGAACGTTCTGGGCGAGTTGCTCGCCCAGAACTGTGGCTGTGACCCGTGGGAACATTCTGGGCAAGCTGCTCGCTCAGAAAGTTCCCATGCTATCCCATGCGCGCATGTACACAACACACAAAGGCAACAACAAGGCAACAGTCAAAGAATAAAAGGGGGTAAAGTAGGTGGGGAGTCCGGGGCACCCTAAGGCAGGGTGCTGAACCCTGACACTCACCCGAACCCTCTCCCCCACTAGTCCCATCCGTGACTCCCATAACCCGCCCCAGACCAGAGACAAACCCGCACCCGGAGACCAGCCAGACCCGATGCTTGCACCCAGAAGACCTCCAAACGTTGATGAAGGGGCTGAGGGGCCAAGTGACGAAAGGATCAGAAGCAAGAGGGAAGGGGCTAGGCACGGGCCAAAGAAGGCACCCAGAGGCCCAGCCACCCATGAGGGATAGCTCACGCAGATGCCATGATGCACATGAGCCCCTACCAGCACCGAAACTCCACTGAGTCATTGCAAAGAAGAAGAGGAAGGGAGCACCCCCAGCCTGCAAGGACGAGAAAACCGCAGAGATGACCCCAGAGGTAGCAGTGTCCCCACCTGCTATCTACATCCTCTCCAAACACTCTCCGAGATCCCTCAACCTTGCTGTGAAGCTGACCACCCTGACCTCCCTGGCCTCTGTATCCGTGTCAGCACTCCTCGACTCGGGAGCCACTGGGAACTCTGTAAGCCCCAAGTTCATCCGAAAGCACAGGCTCGAGACCACCCCGCTCCCCCAACCCATCCCCGTCCGCAACATTGATGGAACCCCAAACGAGAACAGGGCCATAACCGAGGAACTAGAGGCCCTCTTGACGTTTGGACGCCATACAGAGCAGGCCCGCTTCGTGGTTGCGAACCTCAGGTGACAGTCCCTCATCATAGGGCACTCGTGGCTGCTGCACCACAACCCGGAAGTGGACTGGGTATGGCAAAAGGTCATCATGTCCCGTTGCCCATCCTCCTGCCACCCACCACAAGCACGAAGTGACCAAGACCCCACACTAGAGCCCGGAGATGGGATCTATGCCGCAATCATCCCCCCAGAATGGGGACACGAGCTGAGAGCGACCACCACACCCTCCCAGCGGATGGCCCAAGAAGCCCATGACCCGGAGGCGGAGCCCATACTGTTCGAAGCACTGGTGCCAGAGTAGTACCAGGATTTCCAGGACGTGTTCTCCAAAGAGGCCTTCGATCAACTACCTCCCCGGAAACCCTGGGACCATGCCATCAACCTGGTGCCGGATGCCAAGCTCCCTAGAGGGAAGACCTTCCTGCTCTCACAGCCGGAGCAGAAAGAGTTGGACGAGTTCCTGCGAGAGAACCTGCAGAACGGGCGCATCCGACCGTCCAAGTCCCCGATGGGAGCCGCATAAATATTTCTGAACAAAATTTCCGTCCTCGTCCTATCATACATGGTCATATCTTTCTTCACTAAGTCCTAGTCTTCTTGGACTTCCTTCCTCCCGAGGTCAATCTGTCTACCTCACTCTCGCTACTCATCATCGGGTCATCCTTGAAGGACAACTTCCCTCGCGCAGACCCCAAGGCTCCGGCCACCGAAGGCCTCACCTCGTCCCTTTCTGCGATCTTTCCTTCCTGCATCTCCGTCTCTCTCGTCGCCGATCTCTCTCGATGGAACTGTCCTCTCGCCAAGTCCATCCACACATCAAAACTCAAACTCGCCTGCCTCACACCGCCCTTCTCGTCTGAAGTAAGATCTGGGTCGGGGGGTCTCAACTCTTCGAACTCGATCTCGTATCCATCACTGTTCTCGGACTCCATGTAAAGACTGCTCCACATGCTAGGAGGGTCTTTAGGCTGGGCCACTCCTGCCACTCGTTCTTTGCTATTGTCCGTCCACGTCGCACTAATTCCGTCGCACAGAACTCGACTAAGCTCAAGGCCAGGAGGCCTTAGCTCTTTAAACTCATGCTCTCACGTTACTCGTCTGGGACCGCTGTTGTACTCGAAAACTTCATGAATTACACTGTCCGTAATCCTCAAGTCACCGCGCTCGGCTGGAGGATCCTTTGACTGATGCACTTGCGCCAACGTAACTACGCTATTTTCGTCTCGGATCTCATCCTTCCTATCTTCGTTCACCTGCGTCCTCTTGTCTGTTCGCGTACTTGCATTAACTTCCAACGTTCTCTCTTCCGACTCCACTGAGAAGCTGATGGTGCCCTGGACTAACGGGGGTGTGGCATTCCTTCGCCTCTCCGCTTCTAACTCTCGTCTCAACTTGGTCACTTCCACTGTGTAGTTCTCAACTTTCTGAGCCATCTCACAATCTAACTTGGGCTCCGTGGCTACAGTTCTTGGAGGTGAATGCCCAGGTGCAGGAGGTTGAAGATGGGGTGGACCTGACAGTCCTCCTGATCCTCAACTTCCTCTCTGGTGCTCCAATCTCCGCTGCGTCGTGAACTCCCTATCTGGCTCTAAGACTCTCGCAGCTTCCATTCTTCGCTGCGTCGTAGACTTCCTATCTGGCTCAAAGACTTCCGCGGCTTTCTCTCTTCCTGCGTCCTTTGGGCAACTACTTTGTGCCATGCTGCACTTAACCGAAAAGCTGCTCGTCCTTGTACTCTCATTCTCGTCTAAAACTGTCTCCACAGATCGCGTACTGTACTCACACAACCAACTACCGGTCACGCGTCACAGAGACCTCCCGGTCCGGTCGAAATTCAGGGTCTGTCACGTGTCACAGCCGGTTGGCGGTTGGGTGTTTGGGTGTCACGCCAGTTTTGCTGAGGCAAGGTGGCTGTGCAAGGCAATTCAAATTTTCCATTTCTGGAATGTATTTACATTCAAAAACGGAAAATTTTCGTTTGGTCTTCCAAGTTTCTTGTGTGCCTTGCTCGCATTCCATAGCCAAGTTCCTGCTCATGAATAGGCACAGGGAGTATGTGAACCTTGTAAATTTGTTTGGAGGACTGGAAGTGTAAACTGGATAAATTCAGTGACAGACAAGTTCCCGTCTGGAAAGTAGGATCCAATAAAATCACCCGGGATGTCGCTATATGAGATAGTCTCATCTGTACACAAAGCAATGCGGTGTGCAAGGGTAAAACCGTTCATGAGATGATGCACAGATGCTCAGAAATTTTATGGGGGCGGTGTTTTCAAATGTTTAAATTTTAAATTCAAGGTGGTTAACAATTTAATATAGGTAATATAATTCGGACAACTCCGCAGCGCCCTGCCGGTTGGGTGTCACGCATCACAACGAGTTGCCGGTTGCCGGTTTATATCACGTGACAAGTCACGTGGCTGACTAAGCCGGTAGTTGGTCATGTGAGTACAGTAGGTTGTGCTTCAACGAATTCGATCACGTTGCGGCCACTCTGAATTGGTGGCTGCGCTGCGCTTAACTTTGACTCCGTGGGCGCTTCGATCTCTGGATCGCATCCTAACATCTGCTCTGAACTTCTCTGCGCTGGATCCACGACAATTGGGAATGAGTGCCAGGGCATGAAGTAGCCACAGGGACCGTACACATTCCACAAGTCACTCCGCATTGCCGGAGGATCTTTCGACTGAGACACTCGCGCTCTAATCTCATCTCTAACCTCATCGTCGTCAACTGTCTGATACGTAAACTCGCTAGGACTGAAGCTGAGAGACTCCTCAACCACAGTAGAGCAAGGGCTGAGAGGCCTTAGCTCTTTAAGCTGAAAGTCCTGCTCGCTGCATCCTGAATCGCTAAACTCTGAACTAGCTGCGCACTCTACGTCCATTTCGACTATGCTAGAGCGAAGGCTGGGAGGCCTAGGCTCTCTTGACTCTGTCTCTCGATCTGTCTCCTCGTGAATCTCAACCTTCGCCTGAGGCAAACACTCTGGTACGCCAGACTCGATCACATCAAACTCGCGCGATCTGGGCACATCTGCTGCCATCACATCTGACAAATTCTCGTCGCTGGTGTCATACTCCCTCGTGTCAAACTGAACTCGTTCTGGGGTGCTAACGTGGCTGCTGCTCATCGTACTCAACTCATCGTCGTCAAACTTAAACGGTATTTCGTAACTTCCTTCATGTGCTCTGATCTGACTTTCGTGAACTTCGTCTAGATCCGTCATCTCGTCAATCGAATCGACTGGGGACTCTGGCGCAGGGACGATCGCGCTCCCTCCTAATCCAACTCCATGTCCGCTGGCCAGTGGCTCCGTGTCATATCGCTCTCGTACACAATCAACCTCATCGTCTCTACTCATCCATTCCAACGACCCGTTACTAACTTGACTCTCGTGTCCATCTAGGTTGGCAATCGATGCCCGTCTGTCATCAAAACTCGAATCCACACTTGGAATAGCAACATCTTCTCTAATCACCTCCGGGATCTCCTGCGGAGACATCCAGGAAGGTGTGGCTGTGTGCGGAGATGATGTGGCTCCCTCCACATGACCCTAACCACTTGTATATAATAGCACCTGGGGTGGGAACAGAAGAAGCAGCCTTCTTCTCAACTTCCCACTTCAGGTAAGTACTGTAGCTTTTCCCCTTTAATGATAATCCAACCTCCCACTTCAGACTAAGTGGTCGGGGATGCTCACCCTGCCACGGGACCACCGCTATGCATAGCCAACACCTGTCCCATTGAGTCCCTCGTGCCGGGATCTTGCCGCTTTCGGAGCTGTCCCTGACACAGCCTCCCTTCCGGGGAAAGGTCCAGGCACGCTGCCCCTCCTTGCCATGTCCTGACAGGTATTTACACTGGGTACTATTGCTCATAGGCAGCCAGGATGCATCCCTCACCAGTCGCCTTCCTGAAAATCCTCTGGGGGGTCCACCTCCTCTCCCTCTTCATCCCTCTCAGGTGTCCCCTGGCTTCTCAGCCCTTCTGCAAGTGCTCAAAGGTCCTCTGGATGCATGTGGCATATTCAGTGAACCTTCGGGTGGGGGCAGTCTCATGTGGCACAGCCCTCGCTGCTGGTCTGCCCTTGAGCAGTCAAGGTCCGTTGGCTGGGGGGGTGGGGCTGGAGTGTGTGGGGCTGTGGTTGTGGGGGCCACAGGGGTGGCAGTGAGTTGCGCTGGGGGTCCAGGTGGCAGGCATGCAAAGGGTTGGGAGGCTGGTGGTGGCAGTCTCATGGGGGGAGGGGTCATGCAGGATAAAATCCGTTAGGAATTAGGTGATGAGGTTATAGTATGAATGGTAGAGGATGTTGAGGCGATTCCGATGCACATTACATGAGGAGAATCAGTGAGGTACTGACAGAGATATGCGGATTCCAGTTGTGTATTGTGATGCATGTCACATGTTCATTGCACACACATGTGTTAGACACTGGTCCGGGGTCGGCACCGAAGGTCACCATTGTGGGCCGTTATAGGCTGTGATGGCCATGATGCCGTGAACAAGGCCCAAGGGTAGGGCATTTGGCCTCAGCAACTCTAAAGGAGCACTGTGCCCCCTAGCTGTCTCTTGGCCCTCATTTCAGACTTACTGGGGTTGCCTTGTTGGGGTCAGGACTTGAGGGGTCATGGTCAATCGATATTAGAGCTAAGGTACAATAAAGTATCATACAGGATTGGAAGCGGACCCGGGCCGAAGGCTGAAGGGTCCGGAAGCAAACAGGAATAAGGAGCGGGGTTGGCCACATAGCAGCTGGCAATGACCGAGGGTCAAAACAAACAATAACAGATAAATAAAGGAAGGAGCATAGGGCCATGATAGCGGTGATGGTATTGTAGCAGTGCTGGACTCGGAGTTGGGCCGGAGTTGGGCATGGGAATGGTAGCGGCCCTGTAGGGGCCAAGTGGGTGGGGTAGAGGAGTCGCACTGGGCATGGTGCCAGAGGTGGACTCAGGGCGGGAAGGTTGGTGTGGCTGTGGGGGAGTCGGCCAGGTGCAGGGGAGCCTAGGGGCAAGTGGGGGAGTGAGCAGGGAGTCCTCAGGGAGGATAGGGCTGAGGTCGGGGCTCGCACTCATGCTCGCGTAGCGGGAATGGGCTCGGGTGGCATTGGGATGGGCAGCTAATGGGCCGGAATGCACAGCCGTGACAATATGGGAAATGGGGTACACAGATGGTCCCTGGCATCCCTCAGGCTTCAGAAAAATGGGGATAAATATCCATTGTTCATGGTATGACTGGTCAGGAGCATGTGACAATTTTGGGACCATGGTGATATGTGGTTGGAAAGTTAGAAAAAATGTGCCAGATATTCCCCACCTCAACGCTATCTCACTCAATTCTCTGATGTGGTTTGTTGCATTGGATAGCTGTAGTTTAGGCAAGTTGGTTTACATGAAGGGAGCGCAGTTGTGTTGAGTGGTTTGGGCTGGAGATGCAGGTTAGGTTTTCTGTGGCCACTTTCTATTGTTTTATATTTTGTTGCTTGTGATATTGTGTTCCCTATTCTATTTTCTCTTGCAACGTGACCAGATGAGTCATATGGAACATGCTGGAAGCTTGCAGACGTGTTTTCAGGGTCGTTTGTATATAATATTGGCTAGTTACATTTTGATACAGAGATTTCCCCTCCACTATGTTTAGATCTGGTCACCAAGTGAAGTGTGCTGGAGGCATGGTTGAGTGCAGTAGTCTTGAGGGAGGCAAGAAAGCCTCACAGTGTCCTCAGGGAGATCCACACCGAGTTATAGGACCAAGTTGAGTTTTTAGTTTGGTCTTGATTCTGTCCAAAAGCCGCTTGCTGGCCCCCTTTTTCATTTCTCATCCTGCTGGGTGGGAGTAGGTGTGGTGTGAAGTAGTAGAGGTGGTGGTAGGCTGGTGCACCGCTGTGCTGCGCATCTATTCCCTATCCTTTCCCCCTGATACCCCTCCTTGTGCTTTGCTTCCCTGCTTGCAACATGGAAGTAGATCCCGCATTCCACCTTAAAGTGGTTGAGGTCCTTGCCCACGCCAGCGAAGGCGGTGGGGGGAGTGACCTTGGGTGCTTTGGGTTTGGGTGCAGGTGTGGGTGCAGGTGTGGATGTGGATGCAGGCAGTGGGTTTTGGATTCTGCTCTCAAGGATGGCTTGCAGTTCCTGGAACCTCATCAGCAGGTCCTGGTACTGCTCTTCAGTCACCATGCTGGAGGAGGTGGGGGAGACTAGGTTGAAACCTTCTTCTGCTGTCAGGGACAGCGCAGGAGAGGTGGGGGCAGTGGAGTAGCCCATGGTGCTAGCAGCCTGGGTGGCAGTGGGGTGATGGGAATGTATAGTGGGCAGCCCTCACTTGGGCTCATGTCCCTGTTCTGGCTTCTTAGACTGAAGCAGGGATGTTGTCATTAGAATGGAAAGCAAAACTAAACTAAACTAAGGTACTTGCCTGAAGCAGGAATGAGAAGAAGGTTACTTCTTCGGTTCTGCTTTGGCTCAGTTTATATACAAGCAGGAACAGGTCATGTGAAGGTGCCATGTCAGCCTTGGACAGAGCCATGCTATTGCAGGTGGCTCTGCAGGTGATCCCAAGTGCTTAAGGAAAAGGGGTACAAGTAGAGATGCACAGTGCATCTGGCAGCGTGGCACCATGTGGGGGTACTCGGCATTGGATGCATCCATGCTACAAGTGTAAGAAAGGAAGTCATCCATATACGGAAAGAAAGGAGGAAGGAAGAGGGAAAAAGGGAGGGAGCGGTGCAGCATGCCCTGACAGACCCATGACACAGTTCTTTGGAAGGTTGAGGGACCATCCTGCTGGAGCATGTTCGAGATGTATGTACCCCATGGAGTCGCAAATGCAGTGCATGGAATGCAGTCAAGTTCCATGCATATTTGCTCATACATGTCTGTCATATCGATTTTCGATCGATATGAGTTTCTTGCCAGACTGTCCATTATGGACCTCATGTCAGGCATCAGTGTGACATCAAGGACCATATTAGCATTACGGTTCCTCGCATCTATAATGGTCCTAAGAGACCCATCTTTCTTTGCAAGGCAAAGCAATGGGCATGCCATAATGGCAGGATGTCTAACCCACCACCTGGCATGCTTGTAATGAAGGGCCTTCTCTTGTAGCTGTTGCTCAAGAGCTTGGGGACATGTCATGTGTCTCGTTGTATCATTTCCTGGGATCAATGAGATTGATCCTATGATTAACTTCACAGAACAGAGGCAAGACTTCAGGTGCAGGTGCCATGACGTCTTCAAATCACACCCTCCACCAATTGCAGAGGGGAATGAAACCCTCATCTGTCATCAGGCGATGTTCCAAGTGAGAACAATCAGGTAACTGAGTTCTGGAAAATTATGTGTGGCATCCTGCACAGACAACATGTAAGAAGATCCCCTCATAGTGGCTATACTATGAGGGTTGGGCTCCTCCCTAGAGGGGTGATCGGGCAGCAAAGTTGGCTTTGCCTTACCAAGTCACAATTGCTGTGTGCTTGACAATTTGGATGCCTGATCATTTAAGGGCAAAGCCTTCTTAACCAGGCTTGAAGTGTCAGCAGGCCTGGTGCCCAGTCGAGACAAAGGAATGTTGCATTGGAACATCAAAGGAAGGGAGTTGGCCTCCATGGATGTGAATGATGTGCTTGTGTCAGGGCATGCCGCTCCACTCCGCACCGCACCCTCCCATTGCTCCTCTTTCCCTTTCTTCCTTCCTTTCTTTCTTTATATGGATGACCTCTCCTCTTACCCATGTAGCATGGACGTGTCTGACGCTGAGTACTCCATGTGGGTACTGCGCCACTGGATACACCATGCATCCTCATTTGTACTTCTCCCCTCTGACACTTGGGATCACCTGCAGAGCCATCCACAATAGCCTGGCTCCACCCGGGCTGACGTGGCACCCCCCACGTGACCCACTCTTGCCTGTAGATAAACCAAGCCAAAGCAGAACCAAAGAAGCAGCCTTCTTCTCATTACTGCTTCAGGCAAGTACCTTACTCTAGCTTAGTTTAGTTTAGTTTAGCCTTTCATCCTAATAACAATCATTACTGCTTCAGCCTAAGAAGCCAGACAGGGATGCAAGCCTGAGTGAGGGCCCCTCGCCATACATTCCCGTCACTCCGCCGCTGCCTGGGCCACTAGCGCTGGGGGCTACGCTGCTACCCCCACCTCTCCTGTACTGTCCCTGACAGCAGAAGAAGGCTTCAACCTAGTCTCCCCCACCTCCTCCAGCATGGTGACCGAGGAGCAGTACCAGGACCTGCTGACCAGGTTCCAGGAACTGCAAGCGATTTTCGAGAGCAGAATCCAAAACCCACCACCTGCACCCGCACCCATGCCTGCACCCACACCTGCACCCAAACCCAAAGCACCCAAGGTCACCGCACCCACCACCTTTGCTGGCGCGAGCGAGGACCTCAACCACTTCAAAGCGGAATGCAGGATCTATTTCCATGTCCGCACAGCAGAGTTCCCTGACACTTTGTCCCAGATCCTCTTCGTCTTGTTGTACATGAAA